ATGTATTAAGCATCCTAAGAATGCTATATCATCTCCACACTGCTAGGCTGCATTGGCAGAAAGTAGTTTACCTTTGCTTGGTAATCCCGGATTAATAAACAACGCATCCAGTGGTTTACTACAAGCAGTCCATGAAGATCTCAACGGTTCCTTGGAGCACATTGACAGCAATGGAAATAGCAGTCCAGGCTGTTCTCCACAGCCTCACATGTAAGTACTGCTAGCATCTTCCAGTATAGGGGAAAAAAATCAAAAAGTACTGCCTTGCTTAATAATTTGTCCAGAACAGGTAAGGCTGTTCAGAAACTGGCCTAGGGAACAAGCCAGTGCTTCCCAAGCCTCATTAAATTACCCCAAATTAGGTAAAAGTCGTTTTTCTTTGTATAATTACAGGAACCCTTTATCAGCACAACAAACACATTTTAATTAATTTAAAGATGGCCACCTGTACAATACATTTGAAAATCTTCCAAGTTATTCCTTTTAAGATGAAAACAGCTGAAATCTCCAATGGTAATTTGTTGAAATGACATAAAGTTCATTCAGTGATATTGATTTTACGATACCTATAGTCCTTGAGTTACAACCATTCGTTCCTCAACCATTTGAAGTTACAACCGTGCTGAAGAAAAGAATTACTCAAAGTTCAATAAGATTTTCTGATAAGCAGATTTAAGGTTTGGGAAGTACTGGAATTGGTGCTTCCATGCATGCTTAAGATTTCCCTTGGGCAAATGCTTCTTATTCATTGCATGATAATACAACTTCATTTTTTTTCAAACACGGATTCTTTTCATGAGTTAAATTTGTAAATTAGCAAAAGAATTCCAATCAAAAATACTTTAATTGTATTTTCAGGTCTAGTATATGTATGGACTGTTACAGAAATACTATTAAAAAAAACATACAATGCAAAGTTTAACCATTACATCAAGTTTACATAGAAACTAATAAAGTATAAGTATTTTACCTTCTTATAACTCAGTAAATCACTTTAATTGCATATCCAACTTTAATTACTGGTGCGTCAGTATTGGCAAGGTTTCTATGTTAAATTTTATGCAAGACTACAATTCCTATTAATATTTAGGAGCCAACTATATCATTAATTACTCTAAAATCTTTCCTTACCATCTTTTTAATGGAGCTCAGAGAGTGGTACTATTAAAAATTGATGTATCGTGGATTTCAGGAATGTGTATTAAAGCCTAAGAAATATCTTTCCTTAATCATGAGTGTCAAAAGTAGCAGTATCTTGTTTAGTAAATAGCAAAACACAGTCCTTGGGGGTAATGATTTCCTGGTAATTTTTATATTAATTAGTGCTATGACATCTAGGTAGACATAGATATACATTTGCTATAGGTTTATTTATTTTTAAATATGCAATTATGTTCACAGTTAACAATAATAATATTGTATTTAAAATGTCCTTCAATTCTTTTTATTATTTCTTTTATCTTTAGCATGCTATGTTCAACATTTATTATATGTGCAATGCTAAAATCATAATTGCAAGCCGCTATATTCCTCATATTTTCAATGTGTATATTTTCATATGCCTTTAGAGATTTTAAATTTTATATCTTGTTTCCTGATTTGCCTTTTTGTATAAGTAAATACATTAATTTAACAGATATATTTTACACCTTTAAGATGATCTATCTCATTCATTACCACATATATTGTATCATCTTAGACAAATAAATAAAATTAGTGTGCACAAAGAATGAGAGAGAATGTTAATATGCTTTATTGAATTCCAAACCACTAATTCCCTCTCCCCCTGTCCGTGGAAGAATTTGTGTTTTGGAAGCATCTTTAGTTATATTTAATAATACCAAAGAAGTAATAAAACTTGAAGTAGAAAAAAACATGACAAGAAGCTCTTGAGAATGGCAGTGCTATGAAACAGGTAAAGTGAGCCACCAGAGCAACGTGTACAATCAACCACGCAATCAGTAGCTTGAAGCATTTTACTTTTAATAATCATCTGAGTGTATTAATGCTCTCTTTCTTTCTAAAATACTAAGTAAATAAAAATGTAATGAGCAAACAGGACTTAAATCATTTGCCTACTTATTTCACTTACAATGAAGCACATCTATTTATGTTTTCATTTTTTTCTATATAATATTAATATGTACAAAGTGGCTAGAATGAAATACTGCAGACTACTTCTGCTGCCTGCAGTTTGATTCTCACTGGCTCAATGTTGACGCAGCCTTCCATCCTTCCGAGATCAGTCAAATGAGGACCAGGTTTGTTGGGGGCAATATGCTGACTCTGTAAACCACTTAGGTAGGGCTGTAAAGCACTGTGAAGCAGTATGTAAGTCTGAGTGCTATTTGTAATGGCTCCTCTCCTAACTTGAGAAAGTAAAGACTCTTGAAACGGATTATTTCAAAAGGAACCTTTAATCAAGCAGGATGGAAACCATTAG